TCTCTTTGTTCATTTGGCAGTCCATATTATATCCACTATTCTGTATCAACACAATACCTCAAAATCATCACTTCTTCTTAGTCCTTCCAAATTCATGATCTGACTTTTGAATGTATGTACAATTGAATTTAGTTTGTAATGGAAATAAATCGAATTTGTAATTGAAAATATCAGGGCGTGGGTTAGGCACACCTTAGTTTTCAAAGTGATATTTTAGCTCATTAACACGTTAGATCTTTTGCAGAAGATGTGTCTAATGCAATCCATCATTTAATTCTTTTCCTTTTCTTTTTCACGTTTTGGTGTACATTGGGTGAAAGTGTACAGAGCAGATGAGTTTTTCATCCAACAATTCATATACATTTTATTTAATGTTCTTGATTGCAATCCCCACAATATAACAACACTTCTCAGTTCTTCCCTGTGTTTATTTGATTGTTTACCGCCGCTCCCTGGGTGTTGATTGTGGATCCAAGTAAAATGAAACCCTTGCCCACTTCAATCTTTTCTTTATTCATCTTGGATATTGCTTATTGGTCCGTGTGGTAGGCCGGGTTGACTAGAGAAACAAATCCAGTGACACTCATATATGGGTAAGAGAGCCTTTATATCAAGAAGTAATTATGCATCAATAAAACATTCCGGCCCCATCCAGATCAAGTGCATAAGTCTTACATTAGTCTGTAAGTCCCTCTTCAGACTAACTCAGCCACATGCAGTGACGCAGGATGCAGGAAAGTCACAGGCTGGTGGGTGCACAGTGTAGATCCAATGGCAGTGGATGAGTCTCCAGGGCTCTGGTCACAATTAGGGTCAGGGAGCAGGAAAGGTGAAGGCAGGCGGGCGGGGGAGGTTCCCAGGACCCTCCTTATGAGAAAGCCACACCCACAAGAAGGAACCATCATGCTTTGACCTGATTGACAGGCAAGACACCACCCTACACTTTTCTATATCAAATTGAAATGAAATTATGTAACTACCACAGTCCAGTTGTGAGGAATTTTGTTTTCTTTAATGTTGAGCTGTAATCCATACTAAAGTTCCATCTTTGATATTAATGAGTATGTGCTTCAAATCCTCTTGGCTTTCAACCTGCAAAGTTGCGTCATCTGCATATCACAGGTTGTTATCAGCCTTCCTCTAATCCTGAAGTCATCTTCTTCATGTAGTCCAGCTTCGTGGACAATTTGATCAACACGGAGATTGAATGTGGTGAAAGGATACAAGCCTAATACATACTTTCTTGATTTTCAACGATGTAGGGTAGTACACATTACGTCTATTCAAACAACGACCTCTTGGCCTTGCATAGGTTCTGCTTGTTCCGGAATCTCCATTATTCTCAAGGCTATCCATAATGTGTTATGGATATAACGTCAAATGCCTTTTCAGAGTCAGTAAAGCACATGTAAACATTTCTGGTCTTTTATATTTTTAGCCAATAGCCATCTGACACCAACAATGAGATCCTTCATTCCTCATCTTTCTCTGGATCCAACTGGAATTGCCAACAGGTCCCTGTTTATGGAATGCTCTCGTCATTTTGCAGTTATCTTCAGCAACATTTAAGTTTTGAGAGACTAGTAATATCATTCCATGATCCCCACATTCTGCTGGGTAACCTCACTTTGAAATGGATGCAAATATGGCTTTTTCCAGGTGTTTGGCCAGGAAGCTGTGCTTCAAATCTCTTGGCATACGTGAGTCAACATGTCCAGCACTGCGTCCAAACATCTTATTGGTTTTCTGTCAATTCCTGGAATATATATATTTTTAATTTAAATTCACGCCTTCCGTGCAGCTTGGATCTCTTGCATCAATACAATCTGTTCTTGATAACATGCTGCCTCTCGAGATGGTTAAACATCAACCCGTTCTTTTGGGCACAGAGACTTTGTCTTGCTTTCATCTCTTGATGCTTCCTGTGTGCGTTATTCTGCCCACAAAATCCTTTGATATTGCAACATGAGACTTCATTTTTTTCTTCCATTCATTCAGCTCATGCAATCCTGAGCACGTTCTTCCTTTTTGACTTTATACCTCCAGCTCTTTCCACATTTCATTATAAATCTTTGTCTTCTTGAGCTGCACTTTGAAATCTGCTATTTAGTTCTTTTGTGTCATCACTTCATTCATTGGCTTTCCCTGGCCCACATTCAAGAGGAAGTTTCAGAGCCTCATCTGAGATTTATGTGGCGTCTGCTTTCTTCCTTGACGTCTCAATAACCATTTTTTTCTCATGTCAGGTGTCCCTGATGTCACCTCACAGTCTGTCTGGTCTTCAGGCGTCAGTGTTTTAACTGGCCTGCTTTTTTTTCAGAAGTAGATCATTAGGGTACCGTCTTTATTCTGTCTTAGCCTGGAGGCGCCACTAAAATTTATACACCATAAGTGGCTCTTTTGGTGTTTGAATTACCATGGCACAGCTTCCCATCCCAAAGCCACCACCGTGGGACAAACCGCCCACAGTGGTGGGCGGGGAGCCTGCGGGTGTGAAGATAGAAAAACAACACAAGCAAAACTCCCTGCCTGGAGTTGATTCCAATCCATAACCACCTGATACAGTGTTTCCAAGGGCCATGAATCTTGATGGGAGCAGATGGCATCAACTTTCTCCTGTAGAGCAGAGGGTAGGCTTGAACCTCTGACCTTGCAGTTAACAGTCCGGTGCTCACTGACAGCACCATTAGAAGTCCTTGAAATTGGGGAAAACTAAACCAAGCCCACTGTCATCGAGTCAATTCCAACTTCCAGAACCTATATAGGTCTTCTTGAGGGTGTAAATCTTTATGGGAGTGGACAGCTTTCTCTTTCTCTTGTGGAAATCAGAAAAGAAGGTTGGAAATGGGGAGTGTGCTGATACAGTGTAGGCACAGAAACCAATACTATGTATTAATTTATATATACATTTTGGGTGGGAAACTAATTTGAAGTGTAAAATTTCACCTAAAACACACACACAAAATGTTCAAAACACAAAAAGAAAAGTACAAATGGTGTACATTTTGATTCCAAATCTGTAAAAGAACTTTAAAAAATTATGCATGAAAGCATACTGGAAAGAATATACACTATAGTGATAGGGTTCAATGTTGGGGGCAGGAATGACAGATAATTATAGTTTTGTAAAAATGTTTGAGTTGATTTTTCTGAGCCTTTCACAATGAATGCATACTGCTTTTAAAATCAGAAAAGAGTTGTTAAAGAAAAGTATACTTTGCATATGTTGCAGGAGAACTCCAAAGGTGAAGGGTGGGAAGATTTTAATAGGTTTAGGCAATACCAATCTACCTGGGGACCATTCACTACTATGCTAAGCACTAGGGAAGGTCCCACCCAGCTTATCACATTAACTACTTACAATAATCCTGAGAGATAAATATAGATGAACAAACTCTTCAGAGAAATAACCAAGTTCCAAGAAAGTGATGGAGTTAGCATTTGAACTTGAGTTTGTTTCTTAATTTAATAATTAGAAACACAGCTTGCTGACGGGTATAAATGTAGTTGGTCTTTGACTTTGTTGTTGTAATTAGACCTAGAGAGAAAGTATTCCTAAGATGCAGTCAACAGTCCTTTTCAATCTTTTTCAACCCTGACATCTTCTGAAAGATCAGGTTTGAGATATTGGCATTTGCTTTGTGAATAGTCAATGTGGTGAGAGCTAGCTTTTTAGCTTAATTCAACTGTTATTTTTCAGGGACCTGAAACAAATAGGGTGATCAGAGCAAACAGAAATAAAGTAAGCATCACAGAAGTGTCCTATGTTAGTAACAATTATTTTCACCCCACCTGAGGAAACGGGGGTGGGGGCTTGGGGGGTGGCAGGCGATAGCTGACTTCCTTTGGCTTCACTAGGGGAAGGAAAATCCAACTCACAGCTGCTCAAGGTTGGTCCCTACTAGGCAGGGGCCAGACATTCCTCCACCTTCCAGGCTTCTTTATCCTATTCTGACACCCACTGTTCCTCCGTTGGCTCGCTACTTCTCTGCTGGATTCGATAATTCATTGTAAGGGTCACACAGAACTCACAGGCAATTCTTACAGTCATGGGGTTTACTAGGTGGTTAACAGGTCACTGTATGTCAGGATCAGAGAGCATTGTGTTCAATCCTTTGTCTAAAGCAGCACTTCTGAGCCATGCCAGCGGCTACATCTCTCTCTGGTCCTCAGCCTTTCAGCCACATGACCCATCGGCCCCCTCCCTTGTTCTGTGGGCCAGGAAGCCCACTGCTATCTCCTGGTCTTGGTGTTGCTCTTCTGCTCTGGCTCCTGGTCTTGCTGCAGCGACCCATGGTGCCTCTGCGGCCTTCACCCCTTTAGGAAGGGATCTCTTTGCTGGTGCTTCTTTCTTGATGGTGGTGGGATTTCCTCTTTTCCTACTTCTGAGATGGCCCACTTTTATATTCAGCAGAATGGCAAAACTGACTAATCCCTGAACTAGCGCCCTCTACACTTACTCACTTATTTGCATGTTCCCACCCTGTTACTGGGTGGAGGTTTTAAAGGCTACGGAAAAAAGGGCCACACCAAATAATTTCACACTGTACCCACCCTTGTTACCTCCCTATTCCAAAACAGCTTGCACATAGATGTTCATTTATCTTCTGAAGCACCTCTTTCAACACTTTCCTGCCATGTTTAAAAAGCTGAACATTCCCATTATAAACTGTAGACAAATAAAACTTGTTTAGACCAATTCCAGAGTCTGGTCCTATCCTTCTTCCTCTTTTCCACTCCGTTTCTTTCAATGTTGGTAGCTCAATAAGCAAATAAACAACCCCAAGCCCCAAAGATGTCAGATTTAAAGTAGGAAACGTCCAATTTCTAGGGCGGGATTCTGAAGCCCTTCCACCACAGTGCCTCTCAAGGGACCACCTACAGAGTGAGCACAGTAAATCATGAGTGAATGAGTCAATGCTTTAATGATCGACACAGAGAAGTTCACAACTATTCTTATCTGCTGTTAAGAGGGTAACGCTTGAACATTCCATTGACAGGTCCAGGACTATTTCTTTGGAGACGGGAGCTCAGAATATCCAAATGTGTGTCACCATGTTGCAGTTATCGTTCACTGCTGAGCAACTGGGCCAGATCTTTCACTTCCCCTTGACCTATGGACTCTTCCAGCTGATAGATGGCTTTCTCATTGTTGCAGGTAATCAGGTGGAACTCCTTTTCAAAGACTTGAATGAAAATTGGTCACCTCAACTTACTAACCCCATTTTCAATTCAAACGGTGTGTGATGCCCGTGATACAGTTTTAGCTCGATATTTTCTTTCTTTTTTAAAAATCATTTTATTAGGTGCTCATATTACTCATCACAATCCACACATACATCAATTGTGTAAAGCACATTTGTACATTCATTGCCCTCATCATTCTCAAAAAATTTTCTCTCCACTTAAGCCCCAGGCATTAGGTCCTCATTTTCCCCCTCTCTCCCTGCATCCCCTCCCTCATGAGCCCTTGATAATTTATAAATTATTATTTTGTCCTATCTTGCCCTGTCTGACGTCTCCCTTCACCCACTTTTCTGTTATCCATCCCCCAGGGAGGAGGTCACATATAGTTCCTTGTAATCGGTTCCCTCTTTCCAACCCACTCTCCCTATACCTTCTCAGTATCACCACTCACACCACTGGTCCTAAAGGGATCATCTGCCCTGGATTCCCTGTATTTCCAGTTCCTATCTGTACCAGTGTACATCCTCTGGTCTAGGCAGACTTGCAAGGTAGAATTTGGATCATGATAGTGGGGGCGGGGAGGAAGCATTTAGGAACCAGAGGAAATTTGTATTTTTTATCATTGCTACATCGCACCCTGACTGGCTTGTCTCCTCCCTGAGACCCCTCTGCAAGGGGATCTCCAGTTAGCCTGACATTTTCTTGGGAAAATAAAATACATAAACAGGTTCCTTTGCTACAAGAAGGGGTTTCAAAGTCAAATATAAAAACCATCTGAAAGTGAGCTCATGAAACAAATTTACAAAAAACAATGCAGATCAAAACCTAGATTCCAGAACGTGACACGAGGAAAGTCTTCACTGATCTCAAACGGCGTTTACCAAAACCTAACTGTCTGCCATTCGGAATATTTAATCAACATTTCCAGTTTCTCCAGGGCCAAATTATTTCTTAGAATTTCTATAAATAAGACTTGTGCTGAATAGCTGAGAAATATTTTCAAATATGAAATACAATATGTCTGTGCTCATCCATAGTCAAATACACATATTTAAAAAAAATAGATTTATTGGCATATACTTCACCTATCATACAATTTAATGTCCAGTCATGTGAAGGTTTTTGCAATATCACCACCATCAATTTCAGAACATTTGCTTCTCATATTCATTGCTGTCCATAGAATTCAGTCTTTAAGAAGGTCCACAGAAGTAGATGATTTATTTACTTAACATGGGGCCATGGCAAACTGTTACGAGTACCCAGGGAGAAGGTTCTGAGCAAGGTTAGATGATTACTGATACAACAATTGAATAAGGAAAGTTGTAGGCTCCTGGTCTAATTTCCCCAGAAGATAAGAGAAATTCTATCAGGAAAACTCTTGATCTTCAATCCAAGTTTTAACCCTTTCTCACGGTGAGACTCTGAAGGATGAGTACGTCGATCTCATTTCCAGCAGCACCCAGAACACTGATCGAGCAGGTATTCCACAAAGGCTCATTGACCGGATGAACCGATGAATAGGTAAATGGGCTTTGACTTGAGGAGTGGGTCTCCATCCCAGATGGTCCATTCAGGACTGAAAGAGCCATTCATTCTGAGATGCCCAATCAGTTTGTTCCTCTGTTTTCTCTGTCATTCTCCTCTTGTTTCTCTTCTGTGTTTACATACGTCTGACTCAAACCCCCCAAGCGATAGACAATTACATAATAAAATTATGGGCTTTGTTAAAGCGATCCTTAATAATTGTATCCTTTCACATCTAGCCTACCGGGTATACAAGAGGGCACTGACAAGCAGGCGGAGGAATAAGAATCCAGGTTGTGCAGAAACCTGCCGCGGGAAGAAAACCCCTTCTCCCCAGGAATCCCGTGCCGTCCTCCAGGGGAAAGAGGAAACCACCACAGTCCCGGGGCCCTCGGAGGCCGAGAATCTGTTGAGAGACCAGACCATCCCTCTTCATGTGACTAGAGGGAATTCGCTGGCCTGACCAGGCCCTGGTCGTCTTCCGAGGCCCAGGAAGACGGTCCGGAGAGGATGCAGGCAGGGCCTGTATGAATATTCAAGTGCCAGATGGTAGGATATTTATACTTTTGTGCAGGGATTGGATCCCTTCTTGAAAATATATCCTATTACTTCCTTTGCCGGGATCTCTTGTGGGGCATGTACACAACACATTCAGAGTTGCCTTGTGTGTTCTTGTGCTCCTATGCAGGACAGCACGCCTGCCCATGAGCAATACCCATATTGCATGCGGTCATCCTCCCGTGGAGATTTTAATCCGACACGAGTTTCTCTGGGGAGGAGGTGTCACCTCATACTGCCAGGCGAGGACAGGTTCTGGTTTGACATGACTGTTTGACCTGGCAGCACCTTTGGAGCACTGGGAGGGGACACATGGCTCAGAGATGACATGAAGGCCTTTGACCAAACACTTGTTCTTTTCCAATACTTGTTCTTCCCCCCAACCCCCCTTGGTTATTGTTTTTGTCATTATAACTGTGATACTACCTTGGAGGTAATTTAAATACCCTGCGCTACCTGGTAATACATGGATTACCTGATTACTAAGAACCAGAATCAACCAGATGGAAACAAGCAAACAAACCCTACATCAAGTTCATTGCCATCAAGTCAATAACCCACAATAACCCACTGCACTATCAGGTCTCCTTAGGTAGAAATGGGTACAGTTTTTTGGCTTTATGTAGACACACACACACACACACACACACACACAGTCACCATATCGTCTTTAGTGTTTTGTTGGTCACTTTACCTACCATGTGTTCAGGGACATCTCTCCCCATCAGTATGCATTGATCTACCTCATCCTTCAGTACAGTGACCACTCAGAAGTTTTCTCTAGAAGAACTATAATTTATTTAACTAATCCGTAGGCCTCGACAGAGAGAGAGCTGTCAATTGATCTGTGTGGCAATGCTGCTAAAACAAGCACCCTGGCATTTATGTGGGCATTTCTATAGAACCATCTCTTATGAGTTGAGTGACTAGGCCAAGCACACACTGGAACACTGGAGAGACAGGACGCTCTCTGGCAGTGCTAACAGCCATGCCTAAGGGGCCTCGCTTTCCACAGCCTCGCCAGAATGACAATGCTTGTGAAAACATCTCGTCTCAAATGATCTGTCATTGGTGAGATGGACTGTTTTTTCATCGTCACGTGCCTACTGCTACATTTGCCTGCATTTTCTAATTGCAGTGCTTCTTCATAGATTTATAGATTTCACTACATAGTGAACCCTGACCCTTTGTCCTGTTTTGCTGACATTTGACCTGCACTGTCCTTTTTGTTTTCTGTATGCAAGTCCCATACATCTTCCTGTGTGTGGAATTTTTCTATTTTTTACATCATCAGCTTTATTACTCTTGTTGAGACAAGTGTTTTGAGGTGGAGATCTGCTACATGTTTACAGGACTTTAGAGTTTGTGTGTGGACTGTGAATTGTGTCAGCATTTTCACTGGAAGAGGTGTGTGAACAGTGTGTTTACTAGCTGCTGTGTGAGTGATTCTTGTCTTTCCCATAAGTCAACCATGCCTGGCAGGAGGTAAGATCTATTATTTCTCTCTGTTCTGACATTAAAAAATAATTTATCATGTATTTATCCAGTATTTTAGTGGACTCAATATGCACGTATTAATCTACTTACAGATTATTTTTGTGTATAGTCTGAAAAAATCTAATATTTTAAGGACTAATGAATGATTCCAGTATCATATATTGAAGACATCAGCTTTATTGATTTGAAATGACCCCTCCTTCATGCAACTTCTTATAGGATATAGTGTTTTGGAATCCTCTTTGGTTCCATTATTCTGTTATTTGGAAGTTTTGAAAGGCATGAGAAAGTGCATTGTCTGATATGTGCATAAGTGCAAGTACATTTTTATTCTGTAAAGCTTTTCACAGGTGGGTGGGCTAGTAGAACGACAATGAATATCTCATGGCATTTCCACCATCATTCAGGGAAGCCCCGCTGGGTCTCAGGCACCCAGTACATTTTGCAGGGACAATAAAGGTGCAGATTTGAGACATGATAGCTCATTCTCAACTGCTGCTTCAACACTTGGGAGTTGCCAGTTAGCCATTTGACAAAGGTCTCTTTGGTGTGAAGCTCTTTTGTGCACAGGAGTCGTACAATTGTGACCAAGCAGGTCGGGCATTCAAGGATTATGGTGATGATTGCACAACTCTTGGTAGTATGTTGCAATCATTGAATTGTATGTTGTGTGAATTGTATGTCAATAAAACTGCTAAATTAAAAATAAAGAGTTTACAGTCTTGCTTTCAAAGAGTTTATAGTCTACTTAGGAATCAATTACTATAATAAACCTGGTCAGTCGTGTTGTGAATGAATAGGTTCCCAGGCCTGGGTGTGACCACAATTTTAAGACATCAACACAAAGGTAATTTCTAAATTGTTTCTCTACTTAGGCACCTAACACAAAAAGCTAAATCCAACCCTCTTCTCTGAATGCATGAGCGATGGTTCATGTTTATCACAGCAAGGCTACGGGGCAGGTCAATGAAAGACCATCTTGTGAAACGGGAACAACACAAATCCATGTAAAAGTTTGAAAGTGGCCAAGTCAGAAGACTTTCATCCCCTGCAATGGTTTGTGAATGCGCTGGCGAGAGCACCCTCTCCAGGAGACCATAGATAGGGCAAGCAAACAAGCAACAAGGAACCCGAAGAGGCTCTACTTCAGGCCTGGGAAACCTTACTTCCAAGGGCCATTTGGCTATTTACAAATTCATTTGCAGGCCATACTGGTCCAAGATTTTGTTCCCGCTCCTCTAAGGCAATGGCTCGCTATGAGTTGGAATCAACTCGACGGCAGGCAGCGAGTGAGTCAACAGGGATGGCTGGACATACTTCTACTTGGTGAGGTGTGTGACCTTAGCTGGTACGGATGATTTCTGAGACCTTATATGTTCCACACATCTGCAATAAAAAGTATTCTAATGGGCCTTAATAATAATGAGTTAATAAAAGCTGGGGCCTAGGTAATACTCAGAAGTTGAGCCTGAGCAATCATGCTAAGCACAATGATTGCATCACTGTGTGTGGGAAAGAGCCAATTGAGACAGCATAGTAATAGTGGAAAGGACACACCTTTGTATTCTCGTTACTTAGCAGGGGACAGTGGAGTTGTGGGTTGGAGTATGTGCCCCACCTCCAATCTGTCCGTCAGGCTGCAGCCAGATGAATCTGAAGAGGGCCTGGCTTGCACTGGACTTAAGAGTTTGAGTTGGACTGGGATGGGATGCCCTCTGATATAATATTCTTGATATAAAGCTCTTTCTTATACATTAAAAAAAAGAAAACAAAGAATAACATATTCAGTCCCAAGCACACTGTAAAGTAGGTCATGTGCATGCACTTGGGACAAAGCGCCAGAGGAGATCAATAAGTGTGTGTCTTCACTGTCTTATATGGTAACGCATATCACCCTAGTACAGAAAAGGTCATTCAGCTTCACCTACATTAGCAAACCAATCATAGCGTCAAGAAGCCACGGCTTCCTTTTCCTAGCCTCTGAAAAAGTTCTCAGTTCAAGCCCACCAGCTGCTCTTCAGGAGAAAAACCAGGCTGTTTGCCCCCATACAGATTTAGAGTCATGGAAACCATAAGAAGCACGGCTACTCTATCCGATAGACTGCTAGGAGTCGGAATCAACTGGATGGCAGGGAGCTTATGATCAGCCCTTGATTGCATTGACTCACCGGGAGGAGTGGAAAGAACATGTCTGAATGGTTAGGTTAGCTGCTCTTTCAGTTGGAACAATTCCCTGTAAGCTAATAAAGAGAGGAAGGTGAGCCAACAAGTTCACCAGTCCTAAAAGTTTGCTGAGCATTAACATCTGGAATGTACCGAATTCTGAGTGAATGTATGACATTGTATTTTCTAAAGCTAAGAAGCTGAAGACGGCCATTAAAATATTTTCCATTGAGTGGATCTCTTTACACCAATTCCATGTAGAGACTTCGGTATTAAGATCAGAAAGATCTTTGCTGTGTTTTACCTATCAAACATTTATTATTATTTTGGGTGAAAACATACCCAGAAATATGGATACTTCTTCAGGGGTTTCTACACGTGCAATCGAGTGACATCGATCACAGTCTTAACACTGTCAACCATCCCTACTACTATCCTCCACCTATGCATCCCACCATCATTAACATGAGCTCACAGCCTCCTGAAGCTCCTATCTAGGCTCTGGAAGTGCGGTGGTCAAGTTGATCACATACAGATAGTTCTTTTTAAAAGCATGATGCTCAAGGCAAACCAGCTTTACTAATTAAGCTAAATGGCTTGATTAAAAAATTACTTCAGAAGATAGTTTTGGTTAACAACGTAAAGGGTATCTCAAGGCAATGGCCTCAGGGCGTCATCCAAACTCACTGGCCCCAGGAAGTTTGGATTCCCTGACAATTTGAGGTTTGTTCCACACTCTTCCCGTTTGTCAAGATTCTTCTATAGAATCTTTTGTCAAAACTTCAGTAATGGTCACTAGGTACCATTGTTACTCTAATCTCATAGCACAGTAGGCAGTGGTTTGCAGAGGCAATTAGACACAGTTTAGAATCCAGATCCTCCTCTGATTCCCAGCTCTCCATCTGCTGCTGCTGCTTCAGGCGACTAAAGACCAACTGAATCCGTAAGAGGTTAAAGAAATGACACTGGGTTTGCTACTGAGGAGTGGTGAGACCTGGGATAGAACTAGAAAGGTACACACAACGAAACTTACCCAATCTTCATTCTGCCTTTGTTCTTGTTAATAGAACCAAGATTTTGTACAGAGAGCCTGGCTAAAAATAACCTCAAAGCTAGAGGTGGCCATGGGACACAGGCCCCCCCACCCCCCACTAATAAAGTAGAAGGGAAGTTTTTTCATGATTTCTGAGAAATTCTGGCTCTTGCTCTCAGCACTGACTGATCCTTCCTCCTCGCCCTCCTTCCTTTCTGGAGTGTGGATGTGGTGACTGGAACAAAGGCCAGGACAAATGGTAGAGTTGTTCACATCCACCAGCTGTAGACTCCATTCTAGCAACTGTGTACTTGTGAACTTGTATTTCAAGGAGAGAGAACAAATTGCTTATTGTTTAGGCTCCTGTTTGGTTACTTGTAGTCAAATAAAATCTTTGTCAAAATGGGGTAAGGGGTGGAGGATGGGGAGGCTACTGGGACTTCTCGGACTTCAGGAAGGAGAGTCAAACTCAACAACAGCCCAAGATCGATTCCTCTGCGGCAGAGCTCAGATACGCCCGCACTCTCCAAGCTTCTTGATCAGTTCTGACACCAACTGTCCTTTCTGCAGCATTCTCGACTTGTCTGCCGGGTTTAGACAACGCATAGCAATGGCCACACAGACAATAGTCATGGTTGGGAGATTTATTAGGGAAAATGCGATTCAAGACCAGTCGGGAGCACCTCTCATTGGTCCTTGGTCTCTCAGTTTTTGGCCTTTTGGCTTCGGCTCTGGTCTGGCAGTGTTACAAAACTCTTTTAGCCCTGCCACCAAATGCCTTAAGAGCACTGCACTCTGTTGTATGCACCAGCCCAAAGAGGCTCAGCTCTAGCTCCATGGGCCAGCAAACCTAGCTCCCCCAATTAAATGTCTTGAGGAATCCTACTTCAAAAGTGGGAATGCTTATTACAAAAAAAAAGGACACATACACACACACACAATAACTCTCACTGCCACTGATTCTGACTCATAGCAACTCTATAGGACAGGGTAGAACTAACTGCCCCTTAGAAATCCCAGTGGGTTTCTAAGACTAATTCACTATGGGAGTGGAAAGCCTTGTCTTTCTGCCATAGAGCATCTGATGGTTCCACAAGCTGACCTTTACATTAGCAGCCCTTCCACCAGGGCCATATAAAGCCCCCAGGTTAGCTTTCCTTGTTCTGGGGGCCAAGAAGCCCAAGTTCTGTCTCATCTTCTTGGTGCTGTCAACTCTGCTGTTGCCATTTCTCTGCTACATCTCCCGCTCCCACTGGTGTCACAGCTCTTCGTCTCCTTGATGGAAGAGGTTGAACCCAGGGATCGTGGGGTCCAAAGGATGTGCTCCATCCCTCTCTTCTTTCTCGATAATAGTTAGATCCTGCTTTTGCGATGGCTCCTTTTACACAGAGCGTGATGGCAAAATTTACCAACCCCATGTTGGAGTTCCAAGTGTTTACAATCAATCCAGTTAGCACTTATTCATAGTTTCTTCTTCCACCTTCTGTAACTTAGGCCTGTCAGGAAAAGAGGAAATACACCCAATCTACATGGGCCCAACCAATCATTTGGTGGAGTTGTAACACTGCACCACACCCTGATACATAAAAATTTAAATTGGCTTTCAAATACTATGTAGGTCAAACCTCAGAAATGCCTGTCACATTATGTTTACCATCACGGACTACTTCCAGTATTCCGAAACATGTATGATGGGAGCACATTCTCTCACTGTCTGAGGTGTGGATGGGAGGACAGCTGTAGCTGAGCAGTTGGCCCTACAACATCCCATCATTTAAAAACTAAGAAATCAGAAAGGCTATTTAGAAACCACAGATGGAAAAAAAAATCACAACAAAAAACTCTTTTTCCAACAGTACAGATATTTCAGAAACATCTCCGCTAATGAGAGCTTCCAAAGTTTTGCTTTTAGGATAAAATTGTTCTAATCCTGCAATACCTAAACATACTATCCTGAAAGACGATGCCACTTTAGCTCAGCTTTATAAATGTATTCTGCCACCAGCTGTGCTTCCCCTTCTGTAGTAGAAACTCACTGCCATATGCTGACTCATAACGACCCTATGGGGCAGGGTAGAAGTACTCCTGTGTTTTTGAGGCTGTAACTCTTTTTTATTTTTTGAGACTGTAATTCTTTATGGGTGTACACAGCCCCATCTTTATCCTGAGGAGTGGTTGGTGGTTTTGAACTGCTGACCTTGAGGTTAGCAGCCCAACGCAGAACCACTATACTACCAGGCTCTTCTGTAGTATAGAGTTGTCTTAATCTACATTTTCTAGTTTCTCTGTACTCAGGAGCCATTTGACTAGTTTTTGCTTACAGACCCTATGATGCATTTTGCTTCCAGACTTGTCCCATAAAAGCTCCATCCTTTTTTTGGTTGGGCAATGGGGCCGATTGCCAGGATGATTTTGGAAGCTCGTTATGTTTACAGCAAAACCTCCA